CTCTCTCTCTCTCTCTTTCTCGATCGATCTTTATTAATTCTTAATCTTGTTTAATTGGTATATATTGTACTTTTGTCGATTGTATAACCGAACGCGAAGAAAGCGCGATTATTAAATTAAGTGTACTCATCGAGCGAGCAAATCGACGATCGACAAGCCACTCAACGACGCTATGTGCTTAATCGGGTGAAATGTGCACTTGCGATCAGACAGCGAACGCCAATCGTTGCATCCAGCACCGTTGCAGCATCCCCGTGCTGCTGCGCATATACGATCGCGATTTATGATGTCCATCATTACCGTAGGCGCGACAAAAAAGCGATCCACTTTCGCTTCTCCGTATTCAAGTCTTTGTAACAATCCAATACTCACTATCGTTCACATACACGCGCGCACCTTCGATACAGCAGCCGAATAGGCTGCCAGTATCGATTGAACATTAATAATTCAGCCAGGGAGCGCCAATAGTAAACTTTTACTTATTCAAAGGCGTGATAAACACTTTTTCAATCGTGCATCTTTGATTCGATAAGTCATAATTAAATTCTAGCGTTTACTAAAAAAGAAAGAAAAGAAAATGATGTGCTATGTAAAATTATGATAGTATTTTAGACACAACACATCGCCACTGTGGAAAATAAAAATATAATATCATAAAGTCAAATATTTGTTTTATCAAACTAGATATCTTTTATTGACCTTTCTTTGCTCAATCTATGACACATGACTCCAAATATTCTATACAAAAGATAAAAAACATTCGGTAAAAAAGGAATATTGTAAAATATGCAATTTTGTTATAATTAAAAATAATAAATATTATTATATAGATTTTTAATTTTATATCCTTCCTATCGTGCGTTAATTGTCTTTATTAAAAATCATGAATAGAAAATATAGATATAAACTTGAGTGGGTCTTCCAGTTTATGACGAAAGCAATTATCTGCTCTATATGAGGGAGAGAGTGAAAAAGAAAGATTCTTTCTTCAGCCGTGTGCCACAAGAAATCGTTTACGAACCAGATAATCTCTCACGTCCCTTCATCCCTCGATGTTAGAGGTGTCTCATGATCTAAGTATGTCAAGAATTTAGCCATGGGCCGTTTTCACTCGAGCATAGCACACGATAATTGCTTCACCACGCGTTCGTTCGCGCGATTACGTCACAGAATGAAGCGTGTTAAAAGCACGGTCCATTACATGAATTATATGAATTTTTTTTTATCCCGACATCACATCGAATTAATGACTACGATGAGGTTGCAATCAATCGATGGACGGAAGCAAAAAATTGACACATGCTTTCAATCGCACTTGAATTATTATAGTGTGTTCACAAAGAATATGTTTTTATTTATATTTTTAAGTTATAAATAATTTAAAATGTAATATGAATGGCGGTAAAACATATAAATTTATAAATTTATTAAATGAATAATAATCACAGTTAAAATAATTCTATTTACGCAAACAAAACATGACACTTTATTTGTTTGTATTTATTTAATATACAATTAATTATTCATTTAAACATTATTCAGAATTTATACGAAATATTAAAAATCATCCACAATATATTTAGTGCCATAAAAGCGACTTAATTACTAATGCAGTAACGAATTCTTCGATTTTTTTCTCGCCTTCCCGGCCTTCTGCTTAATATAAAACATGCAATCCCCGACGATGGTTGCGCAATGATTACGAATGATACATATTGAATGACAAGACCCGCGTCTCACCGCAGGCTTTCTAAACTTTTTTTTTTTAGATCGAACCATCTACCTCCTATTTGGTAACGGATGATGACACCCAAACTCACGTCCATCAGAGCGAAGAATCGCAGGAGAAAACACGCAAGTGCACTTATTCACTTTCTTGGGACAGGTATATTATCGGAGCGACCCACTGATAATGAAAAAATATGAGATAAACGTGACGCATTAGCGCTTAAGAATGAGCGCATAAGGATGTTCGGTTTTTTATCGTAAAATTAAACACGCAATTTGAATAAGTCAATATTCAAAATTCTTAATAATGAAAACTAAAGAAAATAAATAAATAATATATAATATTAACTCGTAGTAATATATAATTTTACAATACTTAATATAATTTTATTATGTCCCGTGGAAAAAAATTTTTCATATATATTTATACATAATTATATATTGTAAACAAATTGACATATTTTATAGATAATTATATATATATAATATGTCCATATTATAACTTTTTTTCAGGATATTTGCGATAATTAATACAAAAACTAATAGTTTATTGGATTTTACGATACTTTTTACATTAGGTAACATTAAAAAAGGTTATCAGATCCATCTTTCTGTATTTATTTTCTATTTATTAGACTTTAATGCTCTCCAACGTGGGACGATGATAAATTGTGGTATATGAAATATTCTATCTTGAAAAGCCGTCGCGATAATAGATACATATGTATATAGACGTATCGGTTTTCGAGTACCATAACGAGGTCAAACTTGATCTGCGATATTTCGTATTTATCGTAAAGATTATCGAGAGTAAGCGCTCGAATAGTTAAAGTTTATTATTTTATTTATCTTATTTTTTATGTCATCAGATCTTCGTAAAGGTATGATATTCTCTCGGATATTCTCTCTATAAAGAGGGCTAAGTAATGAAAATCAAAATTGCTTTCTAAGCGTTGTTAATGTAATTTATTATTGGGGTCACAATATGACCTCATCATGATTGCCCAAATTTAACCGTAATAATTGAGGGTTAAACTAGTTGATTTTCATCTACGTGCACGACGAAACAATATTTTGCGCGTTTCCGCAACGTTACGAGATCCGAAGCGTTATAAACGGTTGATTCGAATCGTGCGGATGTCAGTATTAATCATCACAGTGGATCACATAGTTCATTCGTAAAATCAAGAAGATTTATCGATACCAATCGGTCGATCGGGCGTAAATTTTTCGGAAGTAAAACACAGCTTCAGCATGCGAACAGACGCAGAATGAACGAAAAAATTCTAGAAATAATAAGCATGTAATTTTGATCCTTCCTTTTAAAAATAAGATTCGATTTATAAAGAAAAATAATTTTGCAATAATGTTCGAATTTAGATTCGTTTCTTCAAATTCGACTTAAGTTGCACACAAAGATATTTTCAATAATTACATTTTTCTTTTTATATACGCATTGTTATTATTATTTAAATCCTAAATTAAAATTACCTTTTTATTACCCACATATAAAAACACATATGTACTCTCTTCGAAATTGTATTTGACATATTTTTCTCGTCATGCATTTTATAATTTATCTGAACTAAAAGTAAATCTGCATTATAAATTTTCGAACACATACCCTGCAAAATAAGAATG